AAGAAAAAAGGGAAGGAGGGAAGAGAGAAGGGAAGGAGGGAAGAAGGAAGGGAAGGAGGGAAGAAGGAAGGGAAGGAGGGAAGAAGGAAAGAAAGAAGGAAGGGAGGGAGGGAGGAGCACAGATGGCCCCTGGGGGAAAGGGACAGGGGAAGTCAGGTCCCAAGTTTGGCAGATCACTTGGCCCTCAGAAGAGTCCCCCAGGGCACTGCAGACAGCAGCAGTGCCTGTCTTCTCTGAGGGCTGGATGTCAAATGTCCTGCATGGTCCCCACTCCTGAGTGCCCTTTGGGGCACAACTAAGAATTGTTTTCCTTTTGGTCCCACACTCTATCCTGCCTCCTTCATGACCCAGGGCACTGCCACTGCTAAGTTTGCCCAAACTCTGTTTCCAGTGGTCCTCGTGAAGGGCTGGGAACCAGGTGACCTCAGTCATTTGTAAATGAGGCCTCCAGGTATCTCTCTCGCCATCTAACAGATGAAGTAACTGAGAAAACTGGAAGAATGCTGACTCACCCCCACTCATACCCCAAGTCCAGGGTGGTGACTGACGCTGTGACAGTCCATCTCGGTAGCAACCCTCCCACCTACTTCCTGACCCAGGACATGCCAGGCCACCACGCTGTCACCTGTCCATGCCTACAAGGGTGGGTCCCTGATTACCACAATCCCAAAGTTTATGGATCACCTCAGGACAGGAGTATACACATCTTTTCTTTCCCTACAACTATCACCCAGCCTAGGCCGGTGTGGCTCAGTGGGTCCGAGCATTGTCCAGGGCACGGAAGAGTTGCGAGTTCAATTCCTGGTCCAGGCACATGGGGGAGGGAACCGATTGATGCTTCTCTCACATCGATGTTTTTTCTCCTCTCTCTCTCCCTTCCCCCTCTTTCTAAAGGCAATGAACATATCCTCAGGTGAGGATTAAAAATATAAGTAAATAAAAACCTCCCATCCAGCCACGACTCTACATGAGCTCAATCTTGTGCCAGAGGCTGTCACTGTAGAGTCTAGCGGTCAACGCTGCTAGCTTTTACCTTCAAGACAAGAATGGGCCGATTTTCAAAGCTGAGGCCAATCTGAATTTTTGAGACAATATCTGCGTGCTCAGTTACGAAGCTGTCAATCCAGCTATATATCTGAAAGGAATGAAGTTTATCAGACCGGCAGTTAAGCAAGGAGAGGGTGAGCCCCAGGACCTCTCTGAATAGACTCCTTCTCCCATCCCACCCTCCTTAATGCTTTCCCACCTCCCATGAGGATCTGAAGGAACCCAGATCGAAAACTACAAGCAGACAACCTCTAGGCTTAAGGCAACAAGCTGTGGTTGGCCTGGATTCCCAGGCGTCTCACCACCATGCAGAGCTAAGACTTTGCTTGGAAGAACAGCATGTGCTGAGCCTACTCAGTGCCCAGGGTTGGCCTGCAAGGCTCACTCAAAAGGAAAGTTTCTCTTGCTTCCATTCAATACATTTGACAGATCTCATAGACCTTGTAGTGTCATTTTTAGTCTTCTTGCTCCTTTTAGATTCTAAGCCACTTGAAAGCAGCGTTATTTATCTCTGACATCAGTAAATGTTGATGGACTATATTAATTCATTCTCTTATTCTTTCAATACATATTATTGAATTAAATTTGTGAAAGAAAATGGATCCTCTGTTGCAGGCCTTGCGAAATGGGAAGAGTGAAGGTGATATAATGCAGTGGACAATACCAATGTCCCACCCTTCTCATGGAACTGGGAGCTGTGCCTTGTTTCTCCCTGGACTCTCCATGCATATTGTCCTTTATAAACAAGTCACAATCGTTCGTGCCTGCCCTAACCAGCTATAACCGTGATCATGAATTTTCTCCAGCTGAAGGTAACTCTCTTTGTTCTACAAAATGGCTCTCCAATGTGCCTGGATTCCTGCCCTTTCTACACTCTAGTACCCACAGCTGGGGCCACTTAACACCAGGAGTGGTCGTGGAGACGTCAAGACCCCTGGACCACTAGCCAAAGCGTTAGATGTGAAAATGGCTCTACCTGCTCTGTCCTGGCCAATGATGGATCCTGCTTTAGTGTTCCACCTAGTAGACTCATTACCCTGGCCTCGTACCTGCCATGGGCTGACTGCTGAACCCCGGTCCCCTGGATCTGAATCCTGGCTTCTGGATCTCTGAAGGTGACTGTCTACCTAACAGACCTTCACCCAATGTTTGCTGCATACTCCCCAGGTGTCAGTTCACAGTCTCCCATAGGCCCCAGAGTCCTTCACTGGTCTCTGCTTGAGTCTGGAGACGCTGAGGACCCAAAAGGAAAACAGAGGCCAGAGCTTAACCGAGGATACCTACCTCCTCCAGGGTGTGGTAAGAAGAGTAACTGAAGCTGCTGGTGCTGCGCTCCAGCCGGCGGGATGTCGCCATGGCTTCTCTCTCCTGATCCAGCAGCACCTAAGTGAAGGAGCACATGTTGGAAGGGAAGGAGTGAGCTGGGACAGGACGCCTCTTCTGAACCCTGCCGATGTGGATGCACAAGGACAGCATCAACACGGGAGAATGAGCCACAGGGAGCATGAGCTGCAAGACAAGAGGAGCTGCTGGGTTTCTGGGGGATTCTTCTCTTGACAAGCTGGCATTCATGATGCCATTTCCCAAACGAGCACAGGGCAAGGAGTTGGAGAGCCACGTTCTAAGTCTGCCACTGCTACTAACTTGCTGTGGAACCTTAGCTTTGGTTTCCTCAGCTTGATAATTGGGACAGCAATATCTGCCCTGCCCGTCTCATAGGATAAAATGTAATCATGGATACGAAAGTGTTTTGGAAAAGATGCTCATGGTCTACTGCCAACATTGCTTTTGCCCTCTGTGAACACTCTGTTGAGTTAAGGCCCGTGCTGAGCCATGAACCCTGACCCCCTGAGGGAACAAAGGGCTCCCCGACCCACAATATCCACTCTACCCCCAGGAAGTGGCCTAGACAATTGGTGTCCAAGCCATTTGGAAAGCCAGTCCAGATCATTATTATTAAAGTAGCAACAGACTTTCACTCACCACCTTAACTGCCCCTTAAGCACAGCATAGGTGACCCAAAACCAATGCCCTTGGGCGTCAATGTGGATTTGGCCCTCAATCCTCATATGGTACTTCCCACTGACCACAGAGAGGGCAGTTCAGTGCCTGGCTTGGGTTGACCTCCCACATCATGCTGGAACATTTTTCCCATATTGGGACTCAGTGAGGGGGGCAGGTGCCCTTCACCCCACGTCTATATACCCTTACATTGGCATCCAGGGACCAAGGCAGCCTAGGATTCAGCACTAACCCTGCAGCGTGGGAAGTGCCATGAAGGGCACTGGGAAAACAGGACCTCAGCCCAAAGTTACCCTGGTTTGCAGCTCACAAGTAAGTCTTGATGGTGCCTTGCTTCAGCCAGAGCCTTTTGGATGACCTGTCACCTTTAACCTCATTCATTATACCATTTGATCTGGTCAGATGACCAGATGACAGGGCAAGAATTAATTATTCATGTTTTAGACAGAGCAGATTAAAGAGTTGGAGGGATTTAATGGCAAAATTAACAAAGGGCAGAGTTGAGATAATAAACCATATATCCCAGTTCCTAGCCTTGGATTCCGTAAGGCTAGCTAGCTATCAAAACTAACAATAATTATACCTACATATAGATATAGATACAGATATAGATACAGATGCAGATGTAGACACAGATATACACACATAGATATATACGTATGTGTGTATATAGATATATCTGCGTGTCTGTGTGCGTATGTGTATACTCAGAGGGCAAGGGCAAGCAAATATTTAAAATGTTAACAACAGGTGAAAAGCCCATCCTATTATTCTGCAATTAAAAAGCGTTTTAAAATAACAAAAGAGCAACACCCTGAGCCAAGGACACTAGAATGCCAAAAAATAGACCAAAATGCTAACAATGCCTGTTAGGATAGAGGATTATGACTTGACACATTTTTCCCCTTCTCTCTGCTTTTACATTTTGGCAACGTCCTTATGCGACTCCAATAAGTAAAATCTTCTAAATGGATAAATAATACTAAAACTAAAACAAAACGCCCTAGGGGCGAAAATACAGCCACGGAGCCTGCAGTCCCAGGGCTGGAAGCGAGCCCCCCCACGCCCACCTGCCGCACACCAGGCACTGCTCACTCGCAATCCTGCTCAGGTTCACAGGGGCTAGGGTAGGACTGGAAATCCATGTTTGGGGCTCCTTTTATTTTCTCGCTGAGCACCGGCTACACGCAAGGCCGCTGTACTTGCAGTGTTTTCTGGTAGAACCGGCTGGGCTGAGGATGGTCCCCCTGGGGCAGAGCTGGGCTGCGGGCTGAGTTAAGGATGGCCGGAGGAGCCCTGGTCCTCACTGGCACAAGCACCAGCCTGGGAAACTCTAACAAAAGGAATCTGTCTTCTGCCCAGGAAACCAACGGAAATCTCAGCAGCCCCCCCCCCC